TTTGTGTGTCTCGCTCTCATCATCATCACTACGCTGGCTAGGAGATGTTGACTACCTCGCCTGGTATACAGGAGGTCGTGGGTTCGATCCCGAGCCTGAAGCCTGCTGCTGAATATTTGGAGTTTGTGTGTCTCGCTCTCATCATCATCACCACGGTGGCTAGGAGATGTTGACTACCTCGCCTGGTATGCAGGAGGTCGTGGGTTCGATCCCGAGCCTGAAGCCTGCTGCTGTATATTTGGAGTTTTGTGTGTCTCGCTCTCATCATCATCACTACGCTGGCTAGGAGATGTTGACTACCTCGCCTGGTCTACAGGAGGTCGTGAGTTCGATCCCGAGCCTGACGCCTGCTGCTGTATATTTGGAGTTTTGTGTGTCTCGCTCTCATCATCATCACTACGCTGGCTATGAGATGTTGACTACCTCGCCTGGTATACAGGAGGTCGTGGGTTCGATCCCGAGCCTGACGCCTGCTGCTGTATATTTGGAGTTTGCGTGTCTCTTTCTCTCCCCCCGGTGATCGCGTGGATTTTCATCCGAGTCCTCTGGTTCCCCCCCCCCCCACAACTCCCTCCTCCGCGTTTAGAATCAACGTCACGCGTTCAGAGTATTTGGCTGCTATGCACTTCCACATGATCAGCCGCTTCGTTGGGTCATCACTTGTGATAGCCAGGTTCTTAGTTTATGGACAGCACGACTTCTCGTCGTGGGGAGCGCGATGTGAAGCTGCCTTCGATCGTGCAGCAGCAGCAACCTGTGGTGGCGGCAGCGAGGGTTGGTGGTTCACCCAAAGATGCTGTTGTGGAACCCCCCCCTTCCCCCGGTGCCGTACCCTGGCCTTGCCAGGAGAAGGCGGCACGGCAACAAAAACAAATGCCGACTCCATCCTGTTACATGTGTACGGGGCAGAGTTCGCGGTGTTTCCTCTGTGCGCTCCGTGTGCCTCCCACACGTAAACACCCATTGAATGGCCGAGAACACCGTTGTATATAGAGGACCGCAGAGCTTTGGGGGAGAGGGGGGGGATTTGGTGCCGGCTCACACCACGTGGTCGCTGCACTGGTTCCTCCCCGCGCCTGCGAGTCGTCCTCTCTTTTCGAGAGTGATCAGATAATGTGCGCCGGATCGTTACAAGTTGACATTATTATGTTACTACTCCCCCTATAATAATGAAAGTAGTAAGAATGAACTCAACTTATAACGCGCACGGCATCTGCGCAGCGAGAGTCCGAGTTCTATTGCCGGCCGCGGATAGCAACAGCGGTGCTCTCTGGGTTCCCCCAACTCCTTCACGAATCCACGCGGGGAGGCCTTCGTAGCAGCGGTGGATAGACTTCGTGTTGTTCTATTCTTTTATTTCAGCAGCGCGGCTCCACGTTGATGCGTGTGTGCGTGTGTGTGCGTAGGCTCGGGCAGTGGGGAGCGGTGGTGTAGCGATTAGCGCGCTGCGCTATGAACCCGGCCATCCGGGTTCGATTCCCGCTCACGGCCAACACCCAGTGACGATTATCTGAACGGGTCCTGGGCCTCCCTTAGGTCGACTCAGCCTCAAATTAAGCATCGCCGCTGGCCACCCACCACCTCGTGTGCCGTTCCGGTCTTCATAGGTGCTCGCTAACAGCACTTGCCTCTACAGCCTATTAAGGCTACACGGGGGATCTTTGTTATTGTCTTTGTAGACTCGGGCAGAGGGATGCGTGCGTGACGATGCAGGGGCGAGTGTGAACGTCACTCGCACAGACACTGCCCGTGATAGCCGTGCCAGCCACGCGCGGCTTGTTAGAGCGTCTCAAGCCACGGGCGGGATACACTTGCTCCATGTTATGCAAGAGGGCAGCTTATTGACGTCAACAGGGCAGTCGTTTCTTATTTTTTAAATCCTTTATATTAAGTTCACTTGCTTGCTTGCTTAGGACCGTGCAAATCTTTCGGTCGTTTTTTAACCCACTTGCCGTGATCCAATCGAGCTGACATTTTCCACACAGACTCGTTGTGCGTGACAATTAATGTTCGTGAAAAATTTTTTTCCAAAATTTTACACTTTTTAGGACAAAAATATTATATTTAATTACCAATTGCTTAATACTGCCATGCAATCATCTGACCCATAGGTGGCAGTCATCTCAAGCCAGAGGACGAGAGGACTCTAGCCGCCACGCATATAAAGGATTTATAGTGAAAAACTTTGTTTTTACGGGTTATACTTGTTACTGTCTATTGTTGACTCGTTGTAACGCCGTTTCAGCCGGCCTTGGCTCTGCACACTGGGTGCTTCGTTTCAGCATAAGCGATACTCTCTGTTCCTCGAATAATTTTGCCACTTCATGTCAATATTTTTTTTTATAAAAAAAAAACCTTGTGCATGTGTATGCATCTATCGAGATACAGGGCAGTGGTTCTTAACCTTAAAAAAAATCGTTATTTCTTTAATGTTAATAAATATGTAAGTTTTATGAAGCAAAGCAGTTGAACTTAAGTGCCCCGTGCTTAATTTGTGTTTTCCATGATTTACCTTGTACAAAAATCTGCCCATGTGTCTCGCTCCCCCAGAAAGGGCATCTCGCGATGATTGGGCCCAAATAGCCACTGATGTAACGTGCGTTATTAGGACAGCCGTGCCTTGTACGCTCCTGGCATTAGTCGTTGCCTTGGGCCCAATCATCGCTAACTCAAAGCCAGCCGAGCAGAACTTCGGTGAAAATCGACAGTGAGCAGTGAATCCTCTAGTATGGCAGCAGCCCGCAAAGCGTTACAATGTTATTAAGTTGCGTGTTAAACAACCCCGATCCGTGCCTGTAAGTGCGGTATAGCAAACACACGAATGCATTGCAGACGCATGGAATTGAATGAAGTCTACGCATTATTAATCTTGATTTGAAGCTTGCGTGACTGCAGGAACCCACACTCTTTGGTTCTTTCGGTAAAGTCACGTAGGTAGATATATTTAATATATATTATATATTTATATATATATTTTTATTTAGTTTTATTTTTTTACCTACGTGACTTTACCGAAAGAACCAAAGGATATCTACGCATTATTCTTCAACCCCCCCCCCCCCCCGTACTCAATTTAAACAATGTTTACATACAGCGCTACATTACGGTCAGGTTAATTCCACGCCTAATTATCTCGGTGGTGGAGCAGCTATGAACACCTGCGGGATACCTGAACCCACCCTGTGCCTTGCCCCCCTTAGAGTCACTAACACGCCACACGCCAGCTTGGTGAAGTATGCCCAAGCAACCCCCACTACCCCCACTGCCCACAGTGGTGAAGCTTTCATGCAACAGTGGGTTGCCAATGACGTCACGCGATTTTGGACGATTTTTGACCCCCCCCCCTTCGTCACACGGCGTCACAAAAAGTCAGACCCCCCCCTCAAATATGACGTCACAAAACTCTGCCCCCCCCCCAAAAAAAAAATTAAACACGCTTCAAATCGCTTTAAACTATTGTCATTGTAGTGTGTATTTAATGTGGCGCTGCACTCTGATGTTGTAGGAGAAAACATTTATTAAAAAGTTTATTCAATTAAGTAGAACGTGTTGTCTATAATAATTTAAAGTTGCGCATTTTGATGTGACGTCACATTTCTCAACCCCCCCCCCCCCCCCTCGTCACACATCGTCACAAATGTCTAACCCCCTCCCCCCCCTAGGTGCGTGACGTCATTTATGGACGCCCCCTACAACATATTCCAGCAGACCTAATGCACCGCATGTGGACTTGCTATGTTTGTACATGCGCGCATGCCACTGTCATTTGCCCATCAGTAGGGTTCGATCCCGACCCTGACGCCTGCTGTATATTTGGAGTTTGCGTGTCTCTCTCTCTCTCTCTCCCCGTGGTCGCGTGGAATTTTTTTCCCGGGTCCTCCAGTTTTTCCCTCCACATTTCGAAACATGCGTTTGGAGTATCTGCCTGCTGTATATTTGCACGTGATAAGCCACTTTGTTGAGCTATCATTTGTGGCCAGGTCGCTTCTGAAAATAAGAGCTACGTAGTTCCGGCCTGTACTCTCACTCAGCATGAGAATCAAACAGAAAGAAACACACAGCGCATTGAGTTGCTAAACAAATTCTCATATCCTCACAAATGCATCTCGCCCTGCAGAAATGTAGTTGCGCAAGCTATTGTCATCATTGAGCAATATGTTCGCCGTCTAGAAAAATGAGTGCAGTTCATTGGAACAAAGGTTACCTTGTTTCTCACATCAACAGGATGGATAAAACGGGGACAGTACTTCCTGGCAAAGACCGAGTCGCACTTGCGAGCAGAGTGAAACAAATGTACATCTCATATTGGGGGAAGCAACTGCGATTTGGACTTCGGTGAATAATCTGCAGGTCAGCCGCACACGATAAGTGTCACCCAGTGGGTGTCAAATTATATAAAAACCTTGCCTGTACTTGGCACTCCTATCGTGTTTGTTTTGTATTGTTTGTTGTTATAACGTTCTGACCTGGCCCTCGACTGTACGTGTGTAGAAAAAAAAGCGCTTTAGAAATCATCGGATTCCTCCAGTATAAATAAATATTCTGATTCTGATATAATACAAACAAAGACAACAACCACCCCAAACGATGTTAGAGAGGAACCGATCACACATTGTGGATGAGTGAAAGTTCATCCGCTTGTTCTGGTTCATTGATTGCGTAATCATTGTGAACACTCGCCCGAGTTTAACCAAATACACCTCCCTGCTAACCATCTCGTGAAAGCGAACCGAATCCTTACCGAGATTAAAAACGGTCATCTCTCATGACATACGCACGACGTCTCAATTCCGAAACGTAGTAATCGTTTGACCAAACCCAGGGGGTCGGAAAACCAAAAAAAAGAGCTAATTTTTTTTCGATATAAAAAAAAATGCACGTGGCGACTACGAGACGGTGATGGGTCCTTAAACAACGGCCACGCAGCAGTCCTTAAAGAGCCACACACGGCTCAGGAGCCACAGGCTGCCGACCCCCCCCCACCCCCTGGGACTAAGCACACAGCGTTATCTCGCTCGCCTGACGATAAGCACATCGCCGCTATCGTCGTATCGCGGCGCCCAATATCGCCGTGACATCGCGGCTCACCCGGCGGTGGGCGGACCCCGACGCAGGCGCCTCCCCGCACTGGCTCGCTACTAAAACCCCGCGGGCGAGACGCGAACCCGGCAACCAACATGCGGGCTCTCCGCACGCGACTCCTCGCCGGCCTCTCCCCGCCGCTCTCCCCCAGGGGCTAGACGTAGCTTCGCCTCCTCAATAAGCGTCTGGCACGCCGCGTATTACAACCACCGTCCCACCCGCCGCCCCATCGCCACCGCTCCTGCTGCCGGGGCCACTTGGTTCCGTGCGCGAAGTTCCGTCGATTGCTACGCCGCGAAGTTTCTCACGCGGCCGCGGTGCTGTTCTCCTCCCTGCTGCTCCTCCTCCTGCCGCCGCCTCCCGCGTGAGTCGGGGGAGCCGAGCGCTCCTCTCGGCGTTGGCGTCCGGGCGGGGTGGGGGTGGAGGAGGAGGAGGCGGAACGCGCCGTGGCCACGCGCGTCCCGGGGAAGAGCGACGCCGGGATGGGAGCGTGGAGAAGACCCCGAGGAGGAGCCGCCGTCGCTCCATCGCTCGCGTCGCTGTCGCTCGTGGCGCTCCTCGTCATCGCCACGTGCAGGAGCGCCTCGTGCCGGGAGATGTTGTGCCAGGAGATCACGGTGCCCATGTGCCGGGGCATCGGCTACAACCACACGTATATGCCCAACGACTTCAACCACGACTCGCAGGACGAGGCGGGCCTCGAGGTGCACCAGTTCTGGCCTCTCGTCGAGATCAAGTGCTCGCCGGACCTGCGCTTCTTCCTGTGCAGCATGTACACTCCGATCTGCCTGGAGGACTACAAGCAGCCGCTGCCGCCGTGCCGCTCGGTGTGCGAGAGGGCCCGCGCCGGCTGCGCGCCGCTCATGCGCCAGTACGGGTTCGCGTGGCCCGACCGCATGCGCTGCGACCGCCTGCCCGTGCTGGGCGACCAGAGCCGCCTGTGCATGGACGACAACAAGAGTGACACTACCCCGCAGCCGCCAGAGGTGAAGCCCACGGCGCCGGTCAGGTCCTTCAACCCGAGCAAGAACAGGGCGACCACCAGGGTTGGTGGTGGCGGTGGTGGTGGTGGTGGTGGGAGCGGAGAGGCCTGCGAGTCCGGCTGCGCGTGTAGGGCCCCCATGGTGGCCATCGGCAGCGACAGGCACCCGCTGTACAACCGCGTGCGCACCGGCTCCGTGCTGAACTGCGCCATGCCCTGCCACGACCCTTACTTCACGCAGGACGAGCGCACCTTCGCCTCCTTCTGGATCGGCCTGTGGTCCATCCTGTGCTTCGTGTCCACCTTCACCACGGTGGTGACCTTCCTCATCGACATGGAGCGCTTCAAGTACCCGGAGCGGCCCATCATCTTCCTGTCGGCGTGCTACGCCTTCGTGTCGATGGGCTACATCGTGAGGTTGGTGGTGGGTCACGACGGGGTGGTCTGCAACCAGGAGCACCGGCACGTGCACTACGAGACCACGGGCCCCGCGCTATGCACCGTCGTCTTCCTCCTCACCTACTTCTTCGGCATGGCCAGCTCCATCTGGTGGGTCATCCTCTCCCTCACCTGGTTCATGGCGGCCGGCATGAAGTGGAGCAGCGAGGCCATCGCGGGCTACTCGCAGTACTATCACCTGGCCGCGTGGCTGCTGCCCAGCGTGCAGTCGGTGGCCGTGCTGGCCACGAGCTCCGTGGACGCCGACCCGCTGGGCGGCATCTGCTCGGTGGGCGCCCAGAGCCTCGAGAACCTGCGCGGCTTCGTCCTCGTGCCGCTCACCGTCTACCTGTGCGTGGGCGCCGTCTTCCTGCTGGCCGGGTTCACGTCGCTCGTGCGGATACGCAACGCCATCAAGCAGCAGGGCGGCACCAAGACGGACAAGCTGGAGAAACTCATGGTGCGAATCGGCATCTTCAGCATGCTGTACACGGTGCCCGCGATCGCCGTGGTCGCCTGCTACTTCTACGAGGAGCGCTCGCGCGAGGGTTGGGCCAGGGCTCTCATCTGCCCCTCGTGCCAAGGGGACGAGGAGCTGAGCTCGCAGCAGCAGCAGCAGCAGCCGCGGCCCGACTACGGCATCTTCATGCTCAAGTATTTCATGTGCCTCGTAGTGGGCATCACCTCGGGCGTGTGGATATGGTCGGGCAAGACCGTGGACACGTGGAAGAGGCTCTGCTGCCGGTGCTGCGGCCGCGGTGGCAAATCGTCGGGAGCCGCGGTCTACAGCGAGGTGCACGGCGGCAGTGGAGGAGGAGGAGGGGGAGGAGGAGGAGGTCACCACCACCATCACCACCACCATCATCACCTGGGCACGGCGAGCGGTGGTCCCGGGACGGCTGGGGCGGCGCGGGCTGCCAGCAGCGTCGCGAGCTCCGTGTCCTGCCACAAGCCGGCGCCTCTGTCGCTCGTCTGAGAACCGTCGCTTGTTGCCAGCAACACCACTCGCTCCGGTCGCTGCTGTTGTTGCTGCTGCTGCTGCTGCTGCGGCTGCTGCCCGGGGTCTTCCACCGCGTGGGTTTTAAATTTCAAGTGCAACTCATCATCACCGCCACCGCCACGCACGGCACGCAGGCTCGAGGTGTGTGTGCGTGACGCCGACCAACCCCTGAACCACCAGCAACCAGCATCAACCACCAGCCTGTTGTTAAATTGCGATCGCAAAGCTGCACGTGTCTTGTGTCGAGTTTTTTTTAAAGGAAAACAATTTGACTTTTGTTCTTTTCGAAAGGCGACACGAAGTGTGGGAAATTGATGCGCTCCGGGATGCGTTGTGCACTCACACGTTTACCAGCAACTTGTAACTGCTTCGTCAAGTTAACTGGCTGCTGGAGCTCGTGGCGCGCCTTCGTGAAGCGACAAGCGGAGAGGGTGGCGGACGGACGGCGGGTGTCGTTGGTGCAGGAGGAGGAGGAGGGGGGGGGGGGTTCTGTGCGCAACCACGCCGCGTCGCTGCCTCGTTCCTGCTGCAGCCGGAGCTGTCAACGCCGAGTTGCCTGTAACAACCAGCACGAGCACGCCACTCGTCGTCTCGCGTGTGTCTGTGTGTGTAACATATATACACACACGTGTGTGTCTGTGTGACATACATACACACACGTGTGTGTGTCTTGGGGAGCGGTAGTGTAGCGGTTAGCGCTGCGCTACGAACCCGGCGACACCGGGTTCGATTCCCGCTCACGGTCAACACCAGCAGTGACGATTATCTGAGCCGGTCCGGGCATGCCCTAGGTCGACTCGGCCTCAAATGAGTACCTGGTGCGGTGTGTAAACATCGCCACTGGGGAGACAAAGGCGGCCGGGCGTGCTGCTGGATACCCAACCCCTCGTGTGCCGTGCCAGCCTTCATAGGTGCTCGCTAACTGCACTTGCCCCGACTGTTAAGGCTATACGGGGGGTGGGAATCTTTGTCTTTGTCCAACTCTAGTGAAGTCCTCAAGTGCTTTTACCCCGGCCGCAAGACGTACATGGAAAGTGACAATCGCGTAACGTTATTTTGTTTGTAATTCTCAGTATTTAACAGTCCGCATACGTTCTGATAAGCTTGATACATTAACCGAGTAGGCAGACTCCCAATTCACGGCGATGTTTTTTTCTTTGCAGGGCGATCTCTGACGCCCCCCCCGCCGCCCCACACACACTATTTGAACGCCACAACTTCCCCAAGATGTATTTATTTTATTTCGCCACCGCAAATTACGGCTCGCGTGATAATCATGCTTCCCTCTGGAGCAGTCGATCTTCACCTGGGGTGCATCGAGATGGCCCTTCCTTGCCGGGGTGTGCGAGGCATGGACAGATTAATGTTTTCGAAGGTGATTAATCGCAAAGAAATTCAGCACGGGCACGTCAGTACACCGTACTTTTCGATTGAAAGCTTTCGTTACTGCAGGGATTCATATTCTTGGTTCTTTCGGTGAAGTCACGTAGAAGGGAAATAATAAAATAAAATAAATAAAACAATAAAATTCTCACTGAGAAATTTACTCACTGAGAATTTTACTCACTGAGAATTTTATTTGTTTATTTTTATTATTTTATTATTTCCCTCCATGTGACTTTACCGAAAGAACCAAGAACATGAACACCTTACTTTGTTTCATCAAACCTATGTATTTATTAACATTAATACTTTATTAACGATTACGAACCACTGCTCAAGATCAGACCCCCCGCCCTCCCTCCTCCACCACGTGTTCGCAGAGCCACGCACACCAGCGGCAGTCGTCTTTAAGATAAGTTAATGACAGTACAGTACTGTAATGAACTACACGTACGGTATATATATAGACGTGGCATGTGTAATTATTTGTACAGGTAGTTTATATGTATATACCGTTCAACGATCAAATGACCCGCTGAGCATAATTGTACATTAAAGGACTGTGCGTGCAACTCTATATATATTTTTTTGACGAGAGTTCGAATATTTTTAAAAAAACGAGATGCAAATAAACTTTTGGAGAAAACAAAACCGCTCCCTTTGTTTGTTGCTGCTGCTGTTGTTGTTTTGCGCGTCTCGAATTTCCCAACGGCGTGAAACTCCAATGGAGAGAGGCTAACGCAAATGTTGTCCTAGGCAATGGAACGACACCGAAGTTTCGCGAGCAGCGTTTGGGGGGCGGTGGGAGGTGGGGTTGTAGGAGGCATTCATTGCAAACCCAGCAGCCACGTACGCGCGCCAAGTCTCTCGGAGACGTTCCAACTCTTTGTACTTCACTCGCCATCGGGCCGGTTGTTGTTTGCGCGCTCCGTCGGCTGCGGCGTTTTCCGATCGGCCGGCATCGGCGAGCGACGCAGCGCCCCTTCGAGCGTAACGCGAACGGACACCAATCACAACGATGATGAGGACGGGGAGGGGGGGGAGGAGGAGGAGCAGGCCGCGTGCTCGGAAGCGGCGCCCCAGGCTAACGAGTTGTCAAACAGAACTATTTTCTAAAGCCCTGTCACATCTTATTATCGCGCGTGATGAGAGGGGGTGGGTGGGTGGGTGGGTGCCGCGTAACAACGTTTTGTGGGTACTTTTATAATGAGCAATGCACACAGACATCACTCTTACCTTACGTGAGTTGCCGAGAGTTTACGGGGTCTTGCGGGTTTTTTTTGTTGCAGAAGGTTTGCCTGTCCGCACGCGTTATCTTATTTACTAAAGTGAACTTCTTTCGCGCCGTGCGTAGCCAACCGTGATAATCGGAGATGCGGCGGCCACGGGGTAAGGGGACAACAAACTCAACACGAAAAGCAGTTGCGAAGAAATGAGTTCTCAATTGAGATGTAAACGTGCGTAGCTCCAGTGGCTTCCTAACTTCGGAAGAAAGAACGTTCCAGACGGCCGCAGAAGCGCATCCGAATGCGCGCGACGTGGTGACCGTCTTTGTTCGATGGGCGGCCAAAAGCAGCTGCTGCGAGGATGACCAGCGTTGGCGTGATGGTGGTTTAAGCCCCTTGACGAGATCAGCGAGGTATCGTAGTTGAATTGTGACATGTGGAAACATGTTTTCAGTATAGCTCGGATGACAGCAGTGGAGCTGTATGTTGTTGATGCACTGCGCTGAACCAGGCGACCTGAGTTTGATCCACGGACACGGCTACTGACATCGGGAGCAAGTGGTATCCACCCCACTCTTTTTCACCAACCTGTGTTGACCAGCGTGGTGAAGCATGGTCAACTAACCACCTCATTACCGACGCAATATGGGGAGGCCTTCGTCTAACAGTGGAATGACATTTGACTTGTCTATCAAGAGGATAATTACTTCACTCGTGTGTGCTTCATTTCAAAGTCATGCGCGCGAGACGGAGACTGCACGCGCCTGTTGTATTGATGTCTGGCAGCAACACAGGAAATGTTTGCATTATTGAATTAGAGTATAACCTAGGTAGGGTTTACATTTGGACCAGAGAACTGGCAAAACACAATAGTCAAAGCCATTCAGTTTTGAGTGCCGTAGGGATTTTTGGAAACTCCGGGAATTCCCCACGCGAATCGCTGCGTTAATGCTGAAATTGCGCTGTCATCCCATTGAAAATTGGTCCATTGATGAACGAGCCGACTGTTGGATTACCAGCTGCTTAGCTTTCAGCCACCTCGCAATGCATCCATTATTTCACGCCTCGATTAACCCGACTTGTGCAATCTCCGAATGACCTTTTGTTTACAACCTCACTGTGAATAATGGACCGCATCACACCGATCATATATTCCTCTCCAATGTCGCGGTCCGTTATTATAAGGGTTAGTAATTGTGTATTCATTTTTCAATTGCTACGTGCGGACAAAAATCTCCCCGTGTTCTTGCCCCTTTGTCTATCGTGTCCAGCAGCAATTCCATAGTCGACCATCAGCCAAAACAACCTCTTCATTGAGTGAGCCTTAGTGCGGGACCCCGGGGTCCCGAATAAACGGAAGTCTAAATCGTAATTCATTCATTTTTGGCGACTCCGTCCCACCGCGCACATGAACGCCAAGACCCACGTGGCGCGGATCATTCTGTTGTCATGTCGTGTCCAAGCGCAGCAGCGAGGACGAATGCGCAGAATAGCTGAACAAGCGAATGCGCTCCATGCTCGGGTATGGGCAGGATCATAAGTCTCATCCAAAGCTGCTCAAACTGCCTTCACGGCTTAAGTCCTTTATTTGTCAAAACGGTATACATAATATAGTGAAACTGCTCTCTTCATTATTATTTGCCACCTACCATTGTCTGCAGCCAGGATCGATCGATGACAATCCTATTACCTGCAGATATTTAGCAGATGAAATGCGTTGCACCTATAATTCCTCCTGTTTGATAATACTTCTCTTGTCCGTATGCATCTGTGCAGATAGGGTTTTTTTGCGGTTAAGCCATAGTCCCCACATACCGCTCATATCAATGCGGATAAGAGGAGCGGCGACCCACTACTCTGTAGAGTAACATTGGTATAAACGCTTCTTACAATATGAACAGCGCATTGAAAACACGTACTATTTTATGTACTGTTTACAAAGTGTGTTCACAAATCCACACTAAGAAACACAATGATTGACAGAGGGGTGTAAATTATTTTTTCGATAGTGTATTTAAATATAAGTACTGCAGGTAAGTAGTTTTTAGTTTTAAAGGCATAGTTTAACAAGACAACACTTACATTTTGATTTAAAGCTTTCGTGACTGCAGGGATTCATATTCTTGGTTCTTTCGGTAAAGTCACGTAGAAGGGAAATAATAAAATAATAAAAATAATAAACAATAAAAATTCTCACGACTTTTCGACTGCAACACAAGCAATCATCATCTTGCTGTGGATTTCACACCTGATGATGATTGCTTGTGTTGCAGTCTAAACGTCGTGAGAATTTTTATTGTTTTATATTTTTATTATTTTATTTCCCTTCTACATGACTTTACCGAAATAACCAAGAAGACAACACTTGCCACCATCCTTCAAACCCATTGGTGATAAAGAGCAACTTTTTTGTTTACATTATAATATGTTTATGCGAGAGCCGGGGGCTTGTGGGACCCCGGGGTCCCGCCACAAGGTTCAATTGTCTAATTGCTTACGGCTATGGATACGTATCGCCCGTCCGTGACATCTCATTAGCCCAGCAGCTGCTGTTGATCCATCGATACGTTCATGCCTCCCTATTATTTTACCATTTCTCTTTTTGCCATCTCAGTCATTGCCATCACATCATTGGCACCTTCAAGTGCAGATGGTGACCGGTCTCTATTCCGTGAAAAACGACGATACAAGTCTTCCCCTGTGCTGTGATCGCTGTTTATGCAACAATGCATCAATTAATCGACTCAAATTGATGTTCACACTCACAATACATGCACGGCAATGCACGAGCGATAATTCATGTTTCATTTATTTATGCAAATTATGTTTTTTGAGTGACGTTTAGCACCACGGAGCGATCGAAACTACCAATTAAATCCAAAATACAACACAGACAAGTTAGGCAAAAACGGGTGGCTATGTGGCTCAGAGTTCTGATTTCTCAGCTGACACGGCACAGACCCTGGGTTTTATATCTCGTCAAATCGCCAGGCATCAAACCGGCTTCTCAAGCCTCGAGTGAGTTGATAATCTCACCAATGACTGCGCACACACACACACCAAAAAAAAACCTCGTCACATTAAATATGGACGAGCACTTAATTGAATCTGAATAACAGGTGTGAGAGTTCAGTATCAGTTTGACTACGACGGACATCAACACTCTTGTATGCAGGGCAGGTGGGAAGGGGTCCTTCTGCTGTGTGGCCCAAGAGTTGACTCGAAGGGATTTCAGAGGTATTGCTGCGTTCTCCACTTCCGTGGGTCGCTCTTCAGCACAACAGAATGGACTGCCGTGTGAGACATCGTAATTGATATTCATCTCGTGACGATGATGCCAATAGCGCACACTCAGGATTCATTTGGGGGGAAATGACAGAGACGAAGAAATATCGATTCTTTAATCGTGACCCTCAATGGTGACGACTCTTTCAATTACCAGTTACTGCCTCCCTGCCACCACGACTGCTCTTGCGAGTGTACAAGTCATGCTACGCGGTTCTCTGTCGCCTCCGATGAGCAGAGTTGGCTACGTACGGTGCGAAAGAAGTTCAACATACACACGTGCAATAAATGACTCCCAGTTCGTCGTGCCTCCCCTATTGCACACCATCTTGAAATGAACTTGTCCGCGTGCAGTTCACTCGACGACGCAAAGCAGCAAAACTGCAGTGTAATTTTTTGTCTTATCCACTGCCAAGCGAAGGCACCTGCAACACTGACATTGGGGAAAGGCGATACCTCAACAACTCCATCTAATCTTCCCCGTGGCCGCTCTCCGCCTTGTATGTATGCGTGTGTATGTTGGACTTCTTTCGCACCGTACGTAGCCAACCGTGCTGATCGACGGTGGCTCCTTGCCTGCCATGTTCCCCATCCTCTGTTCCCTCTTCTTCGTCCTTCGACTCCTCCAGTGTTCGACCTTTCTCCACATTCCCTTCAAGCCACTGGTAGCTTACGCACGTTTAAACCATCTCGATCGAAAACTCATTTCTTTAGAACTGCCTTTTTCAACGGTTGTATTTAACTTGACGTGTGTTTGTCGTGGTCAAATCTTGTAATCAAAAGTTAGTCTACTTACTGTTTTCCAATCCATTCTAAATTTTGCACACGTACTCAGATCCGGTGACAATGCATGCCTGTATCAAAATCGGCATCAATTAATCAATTAATTCGCTACTTTAAAGCAATTTACATTTTGTATGTAGTTACCCCGTTGTGGTCTATAGTTAACCTGTTGTACGTTTATGTAGTTACCCTGTTGGGGTGTGAGAATAAACATGTTGCCTCCAAGTTCAAGTGTGTGCCTCCGTGGAACCCACGACACCTGCACCATCGGCTGCAGCTCCGAGATCGACTTCCTCTCAGACGCGTTCCATCCAGTGCCGGATTATCCTCGTAGCAAAAGTAGCTACACATGTAGTA